CCTCCTCCTCCTCCTTCAGGGACTCCTACGTCCAGGCGTGTGCGGACTTTGCGCGCGCGCGGGAGGGGGGAAGAGAGAGAGAGAGAGAGAGAGAGAGAGAGAGAGAGAGAGAGAGAGAGAGAGAGAGAGGATACAAACAGTCGACCATCAATCAAGAAAGTTGCGGCAAAAACACGGAGAAAGAGACATAGAGAACGAGAGAAAAGATACAAGCAATCAAACCTAGAATCAAGAAAGTTGCATAAAAAGAGAGAGAGAGAGAGAGAGAGAGAGAGAGAGAGAGAGAGAGAGAGAGAGAGAGAGATGCTCACCTGTGACAGACAGGCGCCTTCCAGCCAAGCAATCAACCGAAAACGAAGAAAAGCTGCTGCAATGTTACTCGTGCTAGGGCTTCGAGGGATGTATCCTACCGGAATTGCACCGTGACCTGGATGTATCTGACCACTATTACGTCCAAGCTTATCCCAAAAAGTTCCAGTGTGAGTATGCTCTCAGTGGCAATGAGACGCCCGGGGAAGGCTCGCTGATGTGATTTCCCAAACCGGCGTGAGCAGCCCGAAGCAGCGGGCTGCGGGTCTGCCGTTTGCCCTGGCCCCCTTCAGCCCGACGAAGGTTGGGTATGGGTGTGGGGCGTTGGGCCACATCCAACCCGACGGAGGTATTAGGTTCGGGAGACTGGCAACTCACCCTTCAACCAGGCGGCGTGGAGGCATACTTAGCAAAAAAGAGAAAATTCGCTGCAAAAAAAAAAATGGCAAACCCCTAGAACATGTGGGCAGAGCGGAATACCCCTCTGAAATTTGAACATTTACAAAATGCCCTTTCGCATTTAAATGTTTGTGTTCTGCACCTGATAGGGGTATATCACAAGCCTGGCAAGGCCCTGAAACCCTGGTGACAGGGTATAACACAAATTTAAATCCGAAAGGGGATTTTACGAACTTTTTGAAACGTTAGAGGGGCATTCTGCTATACCCACAACTCGCAGGGGACTTTTAGAATATACCTCAACTTTGGGGGGTATTTCGGAAGCTGTCCCTAAATACGTAGATGGACAACGGCTTGAGATACCATCACCCCAAGGAAGTCAGAGTTCATCTAATTGTAGCTGGATTTGAACTTGGGTCTGCAAACAGTACATTTGGAGAATTTGAATGAGCCTCTCCTGAAAGTTAGTGGCCTCGGGACACGGCCAGCCTGGGGGCGAGCGGAATTTGTGTTTCTGGTCAGGGCTGGGCCTAGGGCGTGGGAGAATTTCTACTGGCCCCACCAGTACCTCTCCCAGCTATTTTTTCAGAGTCAAGCCGGGTAACGCGGGAGGTCGGCGGGGTTTGGTACTACCGGAGCGGAATGGCTGGTGGCACCAGCCAAAATGAGGGCCGCGCCGGTTCGTTTTTTCGGAATGCAGAGCGATTTTAGCCTCGGCATCGATAGCTGCGAAAGGTACTGATGGTTCAAAACAACCACTCACTCGAACATCAGAAATTGGCACTCCGGTCACTTAGGAGCGGGATTTTAGGGGGGGGCAACGAAGGCGCAGGTAGGTCCAGTCTCACATTTTCCAAGCGCCAACTTTGGTGATTTTTCACACCCATAAAAGTTGACAAAAACATCTGAAAATTTGAGATCCTGTAGATTCGGTCTGATCTTTCCAGGAAAAATATCAGAAAAAAAAAGAATCGTTTAGACCATGAAATAAATGATGGGCCAATTCGTCGCACTTTTCATTTTTGTCACTCTACAATGTGTGGGCCAATGAAAAAAGTACCGTAACTTCAAAAAAATTTTACACTCAATCGAAACTCTGAAAATGAAAGGGTCTGTAGATTTGCTTGTGAACAATGTCATTAAAAAAAAAAAAAAGGTGAAATAAAATTTGTGTCAATTCGTCTCATTTTCCATTTTCTCCACTCTACGACTTGTGGGCCGACAGGAAAAGTACCCCAACTTCAGCGAATTTTAACGCTAAGAAGAATACGTAAAAAAATTGTAAATTGGAGGGTCTATAGATTTGGTCATCATTTTTTCAGGAAAAATATTTCACAATTTTTAAAAAATGTGTTTCAACCACGAAATAAATTATGGCGGCAATTCGTTGCATTGTTATTTTCGTCACTCTGCCGCTTCTCCACACTCTGCTATCGATAGCTCTCATGAACCTGTGCTACTTTCGACGTCAGGTAGAGTGGTGGTTTAATTAGACTCTGAACTTGGTTGCTGTTATGTATTGGTGCTTTAACAGCTCATGTGTACCATTGTAGGTATGCGTGGATGGGTTCCAAATATCCATTTTCCCGACCCTTTGTGCTAAACTCTCATAATAATCAATGCAAGGTTGTGCTTGTCAACTGGTCCCATACTCCAACTCACTAAAGCAAATAGTGGGTCTAACTTCCATTAACAAATTGCTCCTATCTTATTTGCATTAAAAAAAAACCTAAGTAGCATGGGTTATCTGGCCGGATAATCTGGTCGGATTACCTGGTCAGATGATCGGGGGGTAGGATCATCCGAAAATCCGGATGATTAAAAAAAAGCCAAAAAAAAAAGAAAAAAAAAAAAGAAGGATATTGCGCATGCAAAATACAATAGAACTACATTCCTATTTCATGAAAAGCTTGATAGGGCATTGAAGGGTTCAGAGGGGGTAAGATAGGGAATAAAGAGTTTTAGAGGGGGGATGCTTAATTCATTCTATAATTTTTTATCTAAATATTATTTTTTTCTTTTGTTTTATTTTTTATCTTTATATTTGTTGAGATATCAAAGATGACCTCAAGCCAAACGTTGTTCGTATCATTCATATGAAAAACATACTTTTTTTCCAGATTTTTTTGATTTAAAAAATATATATATACTTTGATGCGTCGAAAAAAGTGTAAATTAATCAGTGCTCCATTTCCTATAGGACCAGATGGTACTAGAGCATGGATTGAAAAGATATGTAAAGGAAGTGGTTCCGTCCCGTCCAAGTTTGGCCATCGAACTTCAATGTTCGAACTAATTCCATTTTTCCTCTCGTCGAAGAGTTGTCCATAGTGAAACTCTGAGTAAATTTTTGACAAAAGTTAGCCAGTTAACTATTGATTTGTTTAGTGATTGTTTTTTGTTGTGCAATAGCAGAAAGCAAACTTGGATCAATTGATTTCAACAACTCTTGTGCATATTTAAGAATTTGATAAATATATATTTTGCGCAGGGCTGGATTTTCCATATCCGGAATTAATCCGAAAAATTCATCCGGATTGAAAATTCCGGATAGAATTGGTATGCCGGATATCCGGATTTGCTACCTAGAAAAAAACAACTCCCATGATTATCAACTCGAGATTCGAAAAATTTGAAAAAAACATCAATCCAATCTCAAGTATATTCAAGTTTTTCTCCTCACTCCTTAACACTGCAAGTATGGGTGAAAGAGTTTCAATTTTTTTGCTCTAATATAATGTTATGAAGCCGAACATTTGGGGATCCAGTGTGAACACTGACCACAAAAGGGGCTCGAAAGAGGTTGAAAGGCCTTCCAGAGGTGTGAGATAATTTTCTCTATTTTATTTTTATTTCAAATTTTTTGAAGAATTTGGAAATTGATCTTCAACCAAAAGTTGTTTGGTTTGTTATTCTGAATGACACACTTTTTTTTTCAAATTTTTTTATTTTTTTTCATATGACCCGGGCGCTCGCACACCCCGGTTACCACGTCGGTATTTCGGGGCAGGTCTTTTGCGAGCTTGGGGACCCTGGCGGCACGGCTGGCAGCCCAAAATTGAAGCACCTACCTATAAATTTTCATCTTATTTTATTGAGCAGAAAAACAAATAAAGGTTACAAAAGTTTGAGGGGTCAACTAATTTGAGAACCCCCCCTATTTTCTTGTTTTGTTTTTCGAAGTTTTTTTTTGTTTTCAACGTTATGAATGAATCAATGAATCAATCAATCTCAATCATTTATCAATTGATCGATTATCCCCTGAACACAACGCACCTCCTTTATGGTTGTATCAAATAAAAAAGATACTTAGTATACATTCATTATCAGAGCGTTATATTCAGGGGAAGACGGTAGCTCATGCTCGCACTAAAAAAAAAAAAAAAAAATGACATTGCACTGCGGTGTGTGTGCACGCTTGTTTTTTTTATATGATTAATTGATTGATACACTAACACAAACACACACTCACACACACACACAAACATAGCAGAGTGAAGGAGAGGAGACAAGTGGCATTCGGCTGGGTGTTAGTTTCTTTCACGATACTTATTTTGTATAAAATCGGGAGGGGGGAAAACACGTCCTGCCCCCCAATAGAAAAAAATAAAAAAAATAAAAAAAATAAAAAAAAACATAAAAAAAAAGTTTAATCATGAGATTCGGTCGAACATCCTAATAGGAGGAACAACTGAACCAAGTCATCTCTCTCTCTCTCTCTCTCTCTCTCTCTCTCTCTCTCTCTCTCTCTCTCACACTCACATATACATTACCACACAAACACATGCATACATTAAAAAGGTATAAGGAAAAAAAAAAGTGGGCAAGCACATTTTTGACACCGTCATTTTTTACTTTTTTTTTTTTTTTTTTTGCTTATACCAAATGCTATGAAAATTTATATGCATATACCTTACATCATATAAAATTAAAAATATATATATTTTTAAAAATTAAGCCATTAAATAATTTTTCATGGGGACCGAGCTTTGGAAAGTTCGCCTCCCCACGTTCGATCGGACACCCAAACGTTCGGGGGGGCAAACCTCCTCGAACGTTGAAATGTATTTTCTGGCTGTTATAGACCTTTAATTTTTTTTTGAGTATTTTGCGGACTTGGGGTGGGGTGTGAACCGACATTTTGTAGAGTTTTCCACATGGTGTGGGTGAGTGATAGGGTTCTTTGATTTTCGTTAAAGGTACCTTGAGCGCAATGGTTCATACCCATTTTAGGGTATCAGTTGTCGAGCGGTCGTCAATGCTTAACCACAACCGGGGTTAGGGTGAATTATCATTTATAGTGTAATCAGTTGGGGGATTATGCAAATTGTCGAGGGTTCAACCTCGTAAAGAATCGTTGAAACTCCGCAGGCTTAAAGTTGTCAAACCAAATCAGCCTAGTTAATCCCAAACATCATCTTCAAAACGAAAACTCATAACATAAAATTTTTAAGCCCAAGGTGAGTCATAACAATTAAATCTTATTTTATCTAATTTTTGTTTCTCTTGCAAGTGTTATTCTGATAGTTTCACCAATTGTCACTGTATTGTATCTTGCAACACTTTCTACGTGCACTAAACCACTATTGTTTTTTTGTGGCGCGGTGATAGAACAAAAAACTTCAACTGCAATTTCAAAGGTAAGTCACCAGGGTTTTTTATCATTCAATGACATATTGATATACCCTTATCATTTTAACATTTGCTGCTCA